CAGGGCCACCCACACAGTCCTGGTGTCCCCAGATGGGTCCTGGTCATTGTCACCCACACAGTCCTGGTGTCCCTGGTGTCTCCTGGCCGTTGTCACTCACCCAGCCCCGCTGTCCCCAGGTGGGTCCGGCCAGGGCCACCCCACATCCTCAGGTGTGTTTGGATGCCAGGACCTGCAGGTTCCTCTGCGGCTGCTCCAAACCCACCCATGGTCCCACCACGAATTCCCACCCGTCCCCTCCCATTTGCCCACGGCTCCGTTTTCCAGCAGGTTCCGCTCCTCATCCTCAGTCCATCCGTGCCCACCTCGCTCCACGCTCCCACCCTCCACCTTGGAGGATCCATCCCTTCTTCTAAACCCTTCCTCCTCCTCCCAGCCCCGCCGGAATTCCACCTCATCCCCACATCCAGAAGGTTTGGGGAGGTGGGGAGAAATTTGGGGAGGAAATTCGGGAAAGAAACTTGGTCCTTCACCCCCCGGGAGGTGCTCACCAAGAGGAGAAAATGAGATCCCACCAGCCCCATCCATGGAGATGTTCCAGGTGGGATCCACGGGACAGCCAGAGGCTTGGGAATGTCCCGGTGGGTGGGAAACGTCCTGGAGAAGCCACCAGAGGGACAATGGCCTCCTGCCTCAGCTCCAGAGGGCGGTGGTCTCTTCCCACCACAATCCGCTGGAATCTTGGATTCGATGGATTTTTAGAGCCCGGCAAATTGTCCCCCCAGCAGGATACGGCCATTGTCCCCATTTCCCATGCGGGGAAACTGAGGCACGGGAAGAAGCCGCTCCGTGTCCATTGGACGCTCATCCCTTTGTTGGGATTGGGGATGTCTGGGTGTCCCCGGGCGTTGCGGGCCCAGAGGATCCTCGGGAGGAGGGACGCAGGGATTTGCTCCGAGCTCCAGGAGAAATCCCCGCTCGGAGCGGAAAGCCGGGATGCGATTCCCGCTGGAATTCCCGGGAAAAGCGCCGCTCCAGGTTGGGATTGGGGACAGCTGCTCCCCCGGCAGCCGGGCCCAGCTCCGCGCTGGCCAAGGAGAAGACCCCGGAATTCCCGAGGTCGCCCGCCTGGAGCTCCCGCGGGATCTTCGCTCGCCAAGGAAGGGAATTCCCCGGGAAGCGGGAAGGGATCGGCCGGATCCAGGCACAGCTGAGGCAGGGACAGCTTTGATCAGCTCTGATCAGCTTTGATCGGTTCTGATCGGCTCTGATCAGTTCTGATCGGCTCTGATCAGCTTTGATCAGTTCTGATCGGCTCCGATCAGCTTTGATCAGCTCTGATCGGCTCCGATCAGCTTTGATCAGTTCTGATCGGCTCCGATCAGCTTTGATCAGCTCTGATCGGCTCTGATCAACTTTGATCAGCTTTGATCAGCTTTGATCAGCTCTGATCGGCTTTGATCAGCTCTGATCGGCTCTGATCGGCTTTGATCAGCTCTGATCGGCTCTGAGCAGCTTTGATCAGCTCTGATCGGCTTTGATCAGCTCTGATCGGCTCTGATCGGCTTTGATCAGCTCTGATCGGCTCTGATCAGCTCTGATCGGCTTTGATCAGCTCCAATCGGCTCCGATCAGCTTTGATCAGTTCTGATCGGCTCTGATCAGCTTTGATCAGCTTTGATCAGTTCTGATCGGCTCTGATCAGTTCTGATCGGCTTTGATCAGTTCTGATCGGCTCTGATCAGCTTTGATCAGCTTTGATCAGCTTTGATCAGTTCTGATCAGCTCTGATCGGCTCTGATCAGCTTTGATCAGTTCTGATTGGCTCTGATCAGTTCTGATCGGCTTTGATCAGTTCTGATCGGCTCTGATCAGCTTTGATCAGCTTTGATCAGTTCTGATCGGCTCTGATCAGTTTT